CCATTTCTGGAGCACGCAATACGAGGTGGGGCATGTGGATTGGACTTGACTGGGCAAACACAGGGGCACTTCTTGACCTGTGCATGGGCTTTGTCGTTCTCTCTAGTTATTTTACAGCCAAAGATCACTGGCTGGAAGTACCTGGTTCTTTATAGTGCTTTACAGACTTATATCCCTGACCCCAATTTTACAGGCGGGGAAAAAGAGGCACAGAGAGAAATCCAAGGTCCCTCATCAGACAAGTGGACAGGCTGGGACTATAATGTAGGTGCCCTGAGTCCACATCCAATGTTCTGTCACCTTCTAATAAAGGACCCCATTGTTCCCCGTGAACGGGAGGAAACGCTCGAGTTTAACAGCAGAGAGGTTCTTGCAGATTTTTATGTTGGGAGTGATCTGCCTCCCAGAGGAAAAAGGGAAGATTTTAGGAGGTCCACAGGATGCAAAGTGCATCTGGCTGGTTCCTTCTGCAGAAGCTGCACTTACAGACCTAACCTCCCACAGCTTCTCCTGACATCTTCCATGACGTGAGGCAGGACGGCCTCCAGGATGGGCCAAGAGGCAATGCCTCATCCTTGGGCATCTATACATGCGTTCTGGGGTGGGGGACAGGGGGCGCTTTAATTAGAGCGGCTCCAAGAGCTGCTCTAATTAAAGTGCCTGCAGCATCATGTGTATTCATCATCCCGTGCTTCATTCAATGAGCTTTACTTCGAGCGCCCCTGCTGCCATTTTGAAACATGGGGAAACCAAATAGACATGACAGGTTGTTGAAGCACATTAATTAACACACTCCGGCAGACGCGATTAATTGAATTAGCTTGCGTCAGAGCAGATGTCCGGTGTGTGTATAGATGCCCCTTGTGGAGGAGAATCTAGAGCATGCTGCCTCTACCACAGCTATGACATATGCAGAGGTTCTTGTAGGGAGGTAGGGAGGTATGCCGGACAGGCTGAACTGCCCTTTCTATGGGTGAAAGTATGAGAAGGGGCCTGACACCCAAAGATAGGCCTGAGCCAGCTTTAGTTGGCTTCTGGAATGCACAAGACTGCAAATATTCCTAAAAAGCTGTTTTAAGCAGTGTGTTCTCAGAAAGCATGACACAGGGTTTATTTATCTTCCCTACAAATCCCTCTGGACACTACTATCAGTGCAGGATGTGCTCTGGACTACATGTACCTTCTGCTTTATTCAAATTTCAGTTCTGTATGAAAGAGAGAGAGAGAGAGAAAGCCAATTGACTTGCTACCCACTGGACTGAGTAAAAAATGAATTCCAAGTAATTGAGGTCAAGGGCTCAATGGTCTCTGATACAGTTAGGCTGTAATGTAGCTATAGCCTTGCAAACAGAATCTCCTCTCAATTGCTCTCAATATCAGAAGGTTGCAGATAGAGCATTAAAAAGTTTCCAAAACATTTACCAGCTGCCGACTGGGGGGTTTTGCAACAGCTTTCCAGCTCCGTACCATCTGCACAGACAACCCACTTGCCACCATCCCGTTTCTCTACTTGGCCTTCCTTATGCAGCGTGTACAGCGCTTTATTGGCTTCCTGCTTTGTAATTGAACATCCACTGGCAACTTCAATGGCCTTTTTTGGAGTCTCAGCTGCCCTTAAATAGTCCAAGATGCGTTGCTTCACTTCTGAAGCTAAAGGCAAGAACAAAAAGCTGTCTATAAATTAAAGCAATTAAAACATTGGTTTTGGATTGTTATTTATTTATTTTGTAGCTGAACTTTCCCCCCCATTAAGCTCTGGCTTGTATTAGGATTTGGAAGCCTGGGCATAACAGGTATATAATTATAATCACAGAAAGCAAAAATGTACCTCAGCCAGACAGCACAGTTTGACGATGGGGGCAGGAACCGTGAAGAGACTACAGGATGTTGTGGCTTGGCACTGCCCCTATCCATCATGGCCACTGTGCTGCTACAAAAAGGCTCTTTTGAAATCTTGTGTGTTTAATCGCTCACAATGCCTCCATGGGAGTAGTCACTATCAGCTTAAGGACTTATTTTTTTAAAGTGACACCCTCATTATAGCCGCACATTCCTGGCTGTGAAGGACCTGTTTGTCCACCTCACAGGACTAGTATCACTGATGATGTCCATATCCTGTCCTCCACTGTAGTGACAGATTGTAGGATGTGGTATATTTAGACCATAAATGGACTTTATTTAAAAGAAATGATGCATGGAAAAGCCCTGCATACATTCAAAGCTGGTTCCCTGGTTGAAGCTAGTCCCATAACTAAGAGCACTGACAGAAGTGACATTTTCTTGTGTGACTGGCCCCCTAAGGGCTCTTCAGCCATGCCCTGATAGACATGCATGGCTGCAGAGCCCAACTGCATGACAATTTGAATCCTCATTACATGAGCGTTCAGATGAAGATGCTCCAAAGAGAATCACCTTCATTAATATCTGTCAGTCCATGCTGGGATCCCCAGCCCTGGTACTGTCTTCAGAATGGGAGGGGGAGAAGTGAAGGGAGGAAGCTTGGTCTGGTTTGCCCAGCCTGCACTGGAGGGTGGGGCAGGTGAATTGGAGCCCCCTTCCCCCTAGGTCAGGGCTAGGGGAGACAGTCTGCAAACATGCAGCCACTCCAAACTGGAGCTCAATCCCCCAACCCCCTGGACATCTGTTGGGTCAGGGTGGATCGCTGTAACTCATGTCACTTGTTGTAAAGCACCATGAGTTACAGCAGGGAGCTGCACATCTATTAGCACCCTAAGGCATGAAGGAATTGACATTCCACTTGCCCCAGGTCTGCCTTGAGAGGGTTTTTTTTATGAAAACTAGAAAATAGTGAGAAGTGCAGCAGACCTTGAGGTGCCCCCTCACCAATGACCATACAAAAAGCAGAAAGAGCTTCTCTAATCAGAAGTACATTGGTATATCTAACCAAACCCCACTTTATTTCCCCTGGCATACCAATGCTGAGAAATGCTACCAGCACGTTTGCCCTTGCATGCAAACTAATTTAATCAAGAAACAGGAAATGTGAGGCAAGTGAGCTTAGCTGTCATTTTACAAAAAACAATTAAATGCATGAGATGTGTCCTAATGATATTATTAAAAAGAAATTCCAATCTTCCATTAGCAGCGGCATTAATTATGGTGAGCACATTACATTCACTATCATTTACAAGAAGAAATCTTGTTGCTATACAGCCTTTTAGAAAAATTTAAAAATAAAAACATTTGATTCAATCCCCTCAGGAAAGCCCCCACAAGAAGCCACATTTGAATGAAGCTGTGATTATCTTTGTTTTTTCAGGCTGGTAGTAAAAGAAGTCATAAATAATGTTCAGCAACACATTGTGAAATGCTGTATTTTCTCACACATTATGCACGCCCTTTTCCCCCCACAAAAATCTGCTGTAAATTGGTGTGCATATCATATATAAAAGAATATGGTTAGAGCAGTTTCTGCTAATCACTGGACAAAAACAAAAGTAAAGCCTGCATGTGATTCCCAAGGCTCAGCTCCCTAACTGCTGCTACTCATTTACTTACTACAAGGAAAGATCTTTTTTCTTCATTCTGCCTTTCAAAATCAAGGTGTGTCTTATTCCAGGGCATACAATAAGTGAGAAAATATAGCTTCTTTTACCCATTATACACCAGCTATGGGTCAATCTACAAGAAGATGTGAGGAACTCATGGGCTTTTGTACAACTCAGTGACTAAAGCAAATTGCCTTTTGCCATTGGAAAAGTGCACAAGCAGCTTAGGGCTATACATTATGCATTGAGTTAGCCACAATAATGCACTTAAAATCCCCAAAGATGATTATGGCTATTAACTATATGTATTCAAAATCTGGATGCTACATCTGGCAGCCTGAGCACCTCTCTAACAGCAATGATTATGCTAGGCCCCAGGTACTGAAGGGACTTTGTTTTATCCCCTCAAAGCAATTGAAATCTCATCTGAATCAGGGCAAGACTTTGTTTTGTAGGGCAGCCTTTCCAAGGAAGAATGGCATTGAATCCCAGCTTATGTTCTTCAAAATGAGTCTTAGTTACATGCTGTCCTCCCCTCCCCACCCACACCGGAAAAAAAACAGTTCAGGAAGAAAGAAAGAAGAATTTTGCTGGAGTTTCCTATCTTTTAAGTTACATTTCCTCTGGCTTTTGCTGTGGGAGGAGCCATTGATCAGCTGTTAAAAACGTCCTTGGATGGTACCCAAGATTCCTTTACAAGTTAGGACTGATTTTGGAATTACTGACTGATCTCAAGGATCTGAGAACATCAAATGCGCCTTCCCAACTGAAAGAGAAAGTCATCAATAGAGCTCACCATAAAAGGACATTTATTCAGGGCCATAAGCAAACTTATTATACATCAAAGCTAGCTTGTAGTGAGGTTTTCAATCCAAATTCAGCACGGGAGCACTTAAAAATATATAACTCAGCTAAAATTCAACCCATGCAGAGAGCCATGTGGCTATCAGCAAAAGCTGTCTGAGAACAAGCAAATGCATCAGTTGAGTGATTATGTGGATACCTGCTGAAAGAGGGGGATTTGCAATTATCCATGGATGATTTTCTACATGTACATCTCCCGTTATAGTGTAAAATCAATTAACAATAGTCATTTGCTTCTGAACACATTGGTTGGAGAGAAACATTAGTTCAGAAACATTAATTTCTGGACAAATGTTTACAATTAAAATGTAATTTTGATTCCACTCAAGTCCTGCACCAACACATTGTATCTAGGCCAAATTCAGAGGATAAATGAGCAACTTCAAAAAATACAGTTCAAGCTGCAGAATGATGGGAAATGCCCCCATATGGTTTGCTTTTAGGAGGATATGAGATGCCTAGTAAAGATGGGGAAGGGATCAGACTGTTCTTGCTTCATAAAACTTTGTCCCTTGACAAGCAAGCTCCAAAAGAAACTTTTTGCACAATTCTGAAGCATTTGGAAGCAACAGCCAGCAAAGACAGAGAAGGACACTGTGCCAATACAAACTGTAGCCAAATACCACCCAAATACCACCCTTTTCCAGGGTCACCCAGCTGGAAAGCTTGAGACAAGAGACAAACTGGAAAAAAAAAAGGCTTGGATTTGTCCTCACTTCCTCTTTCCTTCTCCAAAAGGGCAGCAAAGTTACTCTGCATTTACCAGGACATACCCTAGAAGGGGACCCAACTCACAGTATTAGCAATGGGAATTTTGGCTTCATAGACGTCCCCAAGGGAGAGTGAAGGAATCCACAGGAGGGTTTTTGAAGACAATAAGTAGCATGCTATACCAGAGACTCTGCTCCTAGAAAGATTTACATGGTAAGCAGTCCTTGGGGAGTCAATGAAACTTTCCACAGGAGGATGTGTAGCCGTGACTGGGCCTAAAATATCTAATGATGATAAATTCTGGAGAGAAGTGAAGAGAAGACAGGAAGTCTGTATAAAGGGGCCAGCCTTTCCAGCCAAAATGAAAAGAAAGGGAAAAGTAACATTACATTTTCTATGGATAAACCAACTTTACAGCAAATCAGACTATCATTCATATTGGTGCTATAACCGTTACAGAAATGGCTCCTGCACAGTCTTGAAGTGGACAAAGCACCAGTCTTATCCTGAAAGGTGCTGCCCGTGCAGAGAGCCCTTCTCTCCCATTTAATACAGTGGAGCTAAGGGTGCACAGCTTGCAGGATGAGGCCTGCGGTTGGAACACTGCAACGTATTTAGATCCCCTGCTGTTGCCATTCTGACGGGGCATTGAGTATTAGAGACTGGCACCCTCGTCATCCCGGCTATAGCAAGTGATGCACAGTCCACCTCCACTGTCCAGTAGCACATAAAATACAGGGTAGCAAAATGGATGGGCATTTTCAGGTGCCAGCTCTCATCAAACCAAATTTTGGGCCATGTCATTTTTTTCCTTAATTAGTGTAATGATTTTGCGTGCACAGATTTAGTTAAAATAACAGTCCCACATGCTTCGGGCCAAGCACAGCCGGTAGCACCTGGGGAGCATGGGTGACTTGTACCACCTTAGTTGGGGGGGTATGTGCCCCCCTCCCCCATCCTCCCAACAACCAGGCAGCAACCGGGGGGAGGGTCCCTCTAATGGCCAATTGTGCTGACGGCCCCCACTGGCCAATTGCTGCGGTCGCTTCCAGAATGGCAGTGGCCATTTCTGGGAGTGCCATGGTGCTCCCACTCCCTGGCCAGTGCTTGCGATGTGTGTGGCTGGTCTACCCAGCTGTTTTTACTCAACTTGTCTACTTTCAGCCAACATTTTCAGAAAAACTCAGACTTCTGTCTGTTAAAGAAGGCCGTTTCTAAGATTTGGGCTGAAAGCTGCCGGTTTTCCATTATTAAGTTAATGAAATTGTTATTATTGAAATATTTCCTAGAAAAACACTCCAGTCTTGCTCATGACATCCCCGTGAAAGCAGGAACTTTTCTTAACTCCCTTCTCCAATTACAAAAAACACAGAAGACATAATTTAGCTTTCTAATCTCCACGTCTCTCAGCTTCCTGTTCTCAAGACATTTACTACCCAGCATAGTGTGTCTGCTTGAGTTTGTATGCTACAGAGCAGCAGTAACAAACTGGTCAAGGAAAATAGCCAGCAGTCGGGAAAACCAGGTAGAGGTCCAAATGTAGGAGATGTTTGAAAGCCAGTCTTACCTTCCCTGGATGCTGCTTTTGCCATTTGTCAGAAGTCCTGATACAGATCAAAAGACAAATTCACAGTTAGCCAGAAACTTACGGACTTCAGTGTAAAAAATAAAGCCTGCGTCAGTGCCAGGAAGAAACAAATGTACAGTCAGAACTAAGAGAAAGCCAGAACTTGTTGCTTGAGGCTTAGTTTCTAACTCCAATTTGAGGCTTGGCTTCTAATCAAGCCCTTGTGCCGTATCGGAGAAGCGGAAGTGAAACTTAACTATTGTTTTATAAAACGAAACTTACTGATCTCGCAGGACAAAGTTCTTCTTTTCTAATGGGCTGGTGGTAACACATGACACTATGACTCAGACAGTTTTGGACAAGTCTAAACTGCAGCAGGCTTCCCGTACCTCAATACAACTAGAGCAGATTTCGTCTGATAAGGAAGATAAGGAGGGGAAACTTCCAACTTGATGTTTTGCCTTCTGTCTTAACAGAGGGATGTTCTTTTAAGCCATTTACATACAGCTCAGTTTTGCTGATCTGGAAAGGTCCTTCCCAACTCCAGGGAGTAGCCTGGATCCACATCTTCAGGCACGAGCTGTGCTCTGTAGCTTAAGGCACTCTGAGGACCACTGCATACACCAAGAATCTGAGCGCACATGCCGTGATTATTTATGCAACTCGATCATCAGAGATTGTTGCATATGCAGTATCTGCAGCTGGGTGACCTTGTAGTAGCCAAACTTATTAGGAGCATATGCAGGTTCTGGGCTCAGAAACGTTAAGAATAAAGGATCCATTCTGCTAAATCCCATGCTGCCAACTCTCACAGTATAGGGAGCCTTAGAGTATTTAGTGTTTTCTCTTAAAGTCTCAGCTAACCAAAGGGCAGTGCTCATGTGAAAACTCAAACAAACATCTCACTTTCATATCTGCAGAAACCAAAAAAGACAAACCCTTCAAAAGAGATGGAGACTTGAGGGCAAACAACTCCCCCTCCCCCGCCCCTTCAGTTTTTCACGTGTACATTTTTAAGGCCCTTTTATAGTTCTCAAGGAACAACCTCACACTTTTAAATGCTTGGGTTTAATAACATGGTACTGGGCAAAACTATCACCAGCTGAGAGAAGAGCAAGTGTGGGTAGAGCAAAGAGGAGGAACTGTGCTCCCAGCAAATCGGGAAATGGAAAGTGAAATACACCACTCCTCAGAAAACCAAACCAACATGTGCCATTTCCTTGACAAGGGAATGAAAGCCTGGGTGAGACAGAGGTCAGTCCTCCAGGGAGAGAAATGATATGAGAGAAAGAAGGAACAAGCAGGTGGGAATTGTTGCCAGCCTTGGCTATTTTCAAGGGGCCTGGGCCAAGCTGCAGAAATGAGGGCTGTGCGAGGCTTCAGACTGTGCTTCGGATCCAGAGAAGCTTCGGACGCTTCAGCGTTGGCTTCGTTAGGCTTTCCAAAGTCGTTCGGAGCTTCCAAAGCACTTCGGAGATCCAGCCATAGGGTATAATGGGAAATCAATGAAATATCTATAACTTTGTTGTTTTTTGTCTGATTTAGATTATGTCTGCAGAGGTGGTAGCCTCTGCTGAGAGCATGAAGCTTGCCAAGTTTCAAGAAGATAGGTGCAGGGGTTGGGGGGAACTGCACCCCAAATTCTTGAAAGAAAAACTTGTGTCATGTCCATGTGTGAAAGCTGCAGGGATGGTAGCCCCTGGTGAGGCCACAAAGTCTGCCAAATTTAAAGAAGATCGGTGCAGGGGTTTGGGGGACCTGCACCTCAAGCTGCAGACAAGCAAAACTCGTGACATGGTGACACTGTGTGTGTTGAGGCACAGCAGGGTGACAGCTGCAGCGATGGTGGCTCCTACTGCGGCCACAAAGCCTGCCAGCTGTCGAGATCAGTGCAGGGGGGTTCTGGAGCCCTGCACCTCTGGCTGCGGACAGGCAAAACTCATGCCGTGGGTGCTTGTGGGACTGACTGTGTCTGTCTTGGGGGGAGCTACTGCAGGCCTGGCTGCTAAGCTAGTGTGTCAGCAGTTACCAATCAACCATGATTCACTCAGGGACCAGCTCAATACACAATTGCTAGCGAATGTAACCAGTTAATTAGCAACAATTAACACCTACAAAACCACAGACTAAGGAGAGGAAATAATCAATACAGACAATCAACTGCCCCATAGGAGCCATCGTCCCTGCAGCTGTCACCCTGCTGCGCCTTAACACACAGTGTCACCCATGGCACGAGTTTTGCTTGTCCGCAGCTTGAGGTGCAGTTTCCCCCCAAACCCTGCACTTATCTCCTTGAAACTTGTGGCCTCACCAGGGGCCACCACCCCTCCAGTCTTCACCCCCCTGTGGTGTAACACACACGTGACATGAGTTTTGCTTTCAAGAATTTGGGGTGCAGTTCCCCCCAAACCCCTGCACCGATCTTCTTGAAACTTGGCAGGCTTCATGCTCTCAGCAGAGGCTACCACCCTTGCAAGTTTCATCAAATCAGACAAAAACAACAAAGTTCTAGATATTTCATTGAGTATACCCTATGGCCGGATCTCCGAAGCTTTGAAGCCTCCTCGGAGCCGTTTTGGCTGGATCGAAGCAGAAACCTGGTCCGGAGCTCCAGATCAGATCCCTGGCATCCAAAGTGGCTGGATCCAAAGCCAGATTGAATAGCTGCCTACTCGCACAGGCCTAGCAGAAATGTGGCTAAGCAGAAGGCCAAGAGTCTGCTTCTGAGTAACGGTAGTGTGAACCTTTGCAGATGAGACAACTAGCTTGGTCAGCAAAAAAAAGGAAGCCATCAGACAAAATTAAACAAAGCACAAGGCCTGAAAGGAGATAAAGGAAGACCATATATTAAATAATCCAAACACATTACTGTATATCATAGCTTTATCTTCAAATATTAGCAGCAGTGATTGATGTAACCAAATGTATTAGATGTTATTTTGCTATAATAGATATATTGTGTTAAGATGCTTAGATAATTTGTTAAAACAAAAACAGCCTGGTCAGAGAAGACCATAAACTAAGGTAAAGAAGAAACAGGCCAGTGTTGAACAGCGCTCCACAGTGGGGAGATAAGAAACCACCCCTCGTTTTTTTCCCCCAAGGATATAAATCCCAGCTAACTGACACCTTCCGAGTCCATAAGGTTTAGTCCAGTTCCAAAAGTTTCAGTGAAACAAAGACATTTAAATAAAGCCAGATCATTTATTTGAATATTAAAATCAGCCATCTGTAAATATTGGGCGTAGGCTGGAGGGAAATTTGGACAACTCAGAAAATTCAAGAAGACCTGCAGCCAGTCTGCGTGCCACCCTCCTCTCACCTCTTGAGTCTCCCCAGTGCAGGTGAGAATCGATGTTGTGCTGTTGCGGGTAGCCAGATAAAACTTAAAACCAAACATATATCCCAAAAATCTAAGGTGTAAGCAAATAAAAGGTTTGGCCGTAGACCTGTTTCTGCCTCTTTTATCAGTAGCCTACCCACAAGGTTAACTGCAGTCTGGGTAACAGGAACAATCCTGGCACCACAAAGATTGCCTTGTTAATCTACATTTACACATTGTGGATTAACTTTCTTTGTGCCATATTTTTTAGGGAGACAGGGGAATGAAGAAGTCTCCCTGGGATTAATTCTGAGGTACGATTGCATGGCTCCACTTTTACACGGGCTACATGGCACTGACCAGGACTTTTGCATCTGTAGCGGGTGCACCGGCTGCAGTAGCTTGCCAGCTTGAGCAGGATGCCAAACCATTGGTAGAATTTCTTCCACCAATCAGGAGAGGGTGTCCCCCCTTCTCCTGATTGGTGCCTTTATGATCCAGGGGCAGAGCTCCTGGGAGGAGGGGTCCCGGTGAGGTTTTCACTGCCCCTTGCTCTGATTGGACCTTTTGTGATCCAGGGCAGAGACCCAGATGGCTATAAAAGAACAGCATGTTCAGCTGGGAAACCATACCAGCGAAGGACGAGAAGAAGAGCAGAGCCAAGGAAAGCTGGGGAGAGCTGCCCCAATGGGCAATAGGCCTAGGTACCTGAAGACGCTGCTGGAGAAACTACCACCGGAGCCTCGGCCCTGGGAGCGGTGAAAGACCACTCGGGCCCCATCAAGGGGCATCTTCCCTAAAGCACTTTTGGAGCATTGCCAGTCCCTTTCCTCCCACAGGGACACTGGGCCTCGGCCCAGAAAAGGCAGGCTGAGCCCCACCCCTTGCCTCGACAGAAGGGTGGCCCTTGGAGGGTGAGCGTGAGCGTGTGCCTGACAAAATGGGGAGCTGCACCTAATATTTTGTCAACTGGTTGTACTGTGTGAGTTGTGTTATATTTTAGCAGGTAAATAATTTTAAGGTTGTTATTTTCTTTTGGAGTCTATTTTTCTTGTTGCTTAATTTGTTGAGTATTATATTGGGAATCTGGTACTTACCTGCTGGAGGCCTACATGGGATTGCCCTGTGGACCTCATGGTTTACCTTAAGGATCTCGGGGTCCTGGGTAAGGGGGCCACTCTCAAAGCATACCCCACACAACCCCATTCCCAAATATAGTTATAAGGATGTGTATGTACAAGAGTGTATAGTGGTTAATTTTCTCTAATATTACCTATTACTTTGGGATATATAATTCTTTATATGTTAAATACATTCTGTATATAGTTAAGAAGCCCTTTGTGTAGTGTGGCTTTATAGAAAATAGAGCAGGGACTGGCAGTTATTTCAGGCGGAGGGCCGCTTACTGAGTTTTGGCAAGCCATCAAGGGCTGCACGACAGGCAGCCAGGGGCAGATAAATACTCATTTTCTAAATTTTTTAGGGACCCCGCGGGCCGAATAGAATGGCCTGGTGGGCCGCATTTTGCCCACCCCTGAAATAGAGGGATCTGTACCCGAGTCGCAGCGCTGTTGCCTGCCCACCTATCCCATCCAATTGAGGATGGGGCACACCCTTGGGTGTACCCAGGTTACACATCCCATGTTTAAAATGCTGTTCCCAAAAAAATAACATTCTGGGTCATCTTCTACCAACAGTAGGAAACATGCATAGTAATATACTTAGCCTTACCTGACCTTTCATTGTCCTTCCTAGCCTTCAAACTGGCTGATCCATGCCAAAAACGGGGTAGCTGAAGATACCATGACACATGACCATGAGAGAAGCACAGCGTCACATGGATCTTTGAAGGCTCTCCTCTCCGACTCAGTTCTGCTGCACCACATCAAATAAGTAGGGAGGCCCCCTTTTAAATC